GAGCGGGCTGCTCAAAACTGGACTCTATGATCTTGAGAGGGAGAGCAGGCTGCTCATGACTGGCCTCTGTGACCGTGACAAGAAGAACAGGCCGCTCAAAACTGGCTTCCGTTGCCGTGACAGGAGAAGTGTGCTGCTCAAGACTACTCTCCATGACCGTGGTCTTCTCAAGACTGGACTCCATGGTCATAACCGGAAGGACAGGCTGTTCAGGGTTGACTTCTGTGGCCATAATACTGAGGATGGGCTGCTCAGAACTGGACTCCAGGGCCATGACCGAAGCAGCAGGCAACTTGAGATCCTCCAGGATAAGTGCATGAGGGGTTTCTGAACAAAGTCAAGTCAAGTCAAGTTTATTTGTACAGCGCGTTTCACGATATAAATCATTGCAAAGCAACTTTACAGCAAATTAAGTTTCTACAATATTTAGTGGTAGCTTATCAGTGGTGACTGTCAGTTAATGTACATATGGCAGAAATGTACGGAAAAATCAATTTAAGACGTAATAAAACAGACGATGAACACTATTAGCAGCAATTATTATATGATGCAATCAAACTTATAGCAAAAATGTGGTAGTTCTGTATGTTGTTTCAGGGTTGGCATCATCTGAGGTCCTCTGAGGGGTTGGCATCATCTCTTCTCAGGTGTTCTGGATCCAGACTGAAGCTTGTGTAAATCCTAGTTACCATGGGATGTCAATCGCTAGTATCAAGTAAAACTAGCAATGAGATACAGCCTTGGTCTGACACAAGAAGCAAGTCATTTGTAATTTTAACAAGTGCAGTTTCTGTGCTATGGTGGGGCCTGAAACCTGACGAAGAGAGCACTCACGGCACCGGAGCACCGACCAGGACCTTTCTCCCTAGCACCCACCTCACTAATAAATCCACTCTCCGGGGTATTTCTTAAGATATCCTTGTCGTGTAATTCTTCACCCCGTTACACTGGTGGAGAATGCAGGCAAATCAGTTAAGAATCACCAAAAAGCGATTTTCTTCACCTCACCTTTTTCCTTTGTTTTTGTCTCCGGGTTCTGTCACAGGCGAGCGCTCCTCCCCCAACATGGACGAAATCCTCCAGCGGCTCACCGAGGTTAGC